TAAAATCTAAGGAAATATCTAGTACACTTCACATCTAGTTGTTGTAATGTAGGATGTAGTGATGCTTTACTATTTAGAAGCTTTGTGAGCAATCTATCATGTTTGTATTTGAATGGTATGCTGAAATACCTATTGGGTTAGTGTAGACATTTGTAGAGTTTTTTTTTTAATTTTGAAATTGCAAAATAGCATAAAAGCAAAAGAAGGGGAAAAAACCCCTACTTCAAAGTACTAAGTGATAGTAGAACTATCACAATCCTTCTTTAATAAAGACAAGAAATAAGGAGGAATATTATCAGAGCAAGTGTCTTCCCAATTAAAATCACCTAACAAAGCCAAGTTAGCACAACAATAAGCTAAATTATTACAACCTCTATCCACCCAATTAAATAAGAAATAATCAAACTTTTTTAAAAAAGAAAAGTCTTCATACCTATCATCATTGATCAGGAATGGTAACTTCACTTTAACATTTAGATAGTTCATCACATTGATGCTATCACCTTCTAGTATAATTCCTTTTGAATCCAACATCCAATCCTTGATGTTTTTGTTTAAATTCTGAAATGCCAAAAGCTCCAAAGCTCCATTGTCCCAATGAGTGCATTTGATTCCAAAAGCAAGGAGGAATCTACCTTTATGATCTCTGAAAACTCCACCAATACTCGCTTCATTGGATCTCAATAAAGTTGCGTTTAAATTAACTTTAATCCATTCAGGGGGAGGGGGATGCCAAGAATTTGAAAATGATCTAAATGATTGATTAGCACCCCAATGATCCCAAAATGAACTAAACTTCAAAGCAACAGATGAAGTGCTGATGGCATTAGACACAATAGAAGAAATTCCAGATTCTTTCCCTTCATGAATCACTTTATTTCTACTCTTCCAAGAGAAGAAGGTTATTATGCAATATAAATTTATAGCAAATAAATTTACCTTCAACATGTGTTTCATATACATCAAACAATCTGTCCAAGAGTTAAACACGGGAAGAGAAAATCCCCATTTATTAGCCAAACTGATCGCCTCCTTCAGCTTGCCACATGTTACTGCTATATGTTCTGAGTTCTCCACTTCATCACTTCCTCTAGGATAGATATTATCGATTGCTAATCTTCTGAATACCATGAATTCTTTAGAAGGAATAGCATTTCTCCATAAACGCCACCAGAACCATTCTACCCGTGGATTCAATTTAATTTTTTTGAACAAGCTCCATGAATCCGATATAATTTCTTATGTGGTTCTTGCTATTGCAACTATCGTTTTGCCAGTAAACGATTTAACAAGTTCCATTTCATCATCTGGAAGTTCTGGGTACAATTTAATTTGTATAATTATATCCACCAATTCCCTTCCAAAATATTTCAGCAATTCAGTTTTGTTCCAATAGCCATTTAGAATAAAATTTTCCAGATTTGGGAATTCTCCTTCAACAATAGCAATGAAGGTTGGCCATAATTCCAATCTTCTATGCAATATCCAGCAGTCTTTAAAAATATTGATAGTATTTCCTGTAGCAATTTTGTATCTGATAACCGGGTTTAAAGCTTTAGCACCACTGATAAGGATTTTCCAAGAAGGGGAATTGAATCTATTAATATCACCATGAATAACATCTCTTCCATATCTTTCCTTCAACGATTTGTTGAGAATTGAATTTGGATTCTTGTAGTAATTCCACGTGAACTTAGCTCTAAGGGGTCCAACTGATTGAATTGCTAATAGTACCCCTCTACCTCCAGCATTGGTGGGACAACACAGGTCATCCCATGCAACATAGTGCATTCCAGGTTTTCCATCCTCCTTTTTCCAAAGATAATCTCTACATAATCTATCTAATTCCTTCAATATGCTTAAAGGGATTAAAGTATGAGTAAAAAAAAAAAACCTGGTATGGATAGAATAACAAATTTGATGAGAGCAAACTTTCCTGGAGCTGATATGTACCTTCTACCCACACATTCAATTTAGCTGAAACTTTATCCAGTAAATGAAGGAAATCACTATGTTTTAATCTCCTTAATGCCATTTTCACACCCAAGTATTGCATCTCCTTGACCTTGAAATTGAAAATCTTTTTGATACATCTTCTACATCTTCTGGCCACTGAATTACCAAACATAATGACAGATTTTTCCTTGTTTATATGCTGGCCCGTCCAACAACAATATTTTTTAAGAATGTTTTAAATCTTCTTCACCTCAATAACCTTTGCTATAGATAGAATTAGAATGTCATCCGCGTACATCAGATGGCATATTCTAATTCATAGATTTCTTCCTTCTTGTTCAAAGGCATTGGTAAGTAGTTGAGAGCATAAAATGAAGAGATAGGGAGATAGAGGACAACCCTGCCTAAAGCTGCTCTTCCCCTTATTCCACTAAGAACCAACTCCATTAATTATGATAGAGAAATAAGGATCAATAACACATTCCATAAGAAGCTTTGAAAATCTCCAAGGAAAGCCAAAAAAATGAAGAGTTTGTTTAAGTGTATCTCAAGCCATACTATCGTATGCTTGCTCCATATCAATTTTAATGGAAATAAACACTATTTCAGATTTTCAGAATCTGAATTTGTGAAAGATATCTTGTGTAAGGAGGATGTGATCAGATAATGTTCTGACTTTGATGAATGCCGATTGAACATCCATCACCAATGAGTTAATCACTTTCATCAATCTATTGAACAAGACTTTAGAAATAATCTTGTAAATAGACAAACAGAGACTAATTGGTCTAAAACTGGAAGGAAGAAGAGGGTTTCTCACTTTAGGAATAAGAACCACCAAAGTCTCTTTCCATTTAGAGCACATTTTTCCCGAAGTAAGGAATAGTTGAATAGCTCTCCATACATCTTCTCCTATCAAATTCCAATAAGCTTTACTAAAAGGGAAAGAAATGCCATCCTTACCAGGAGAGATGTTATTGCCAAGATCAGATACCACAACTTCAACTTCCTCAAATGTAAATTCTTGATCAAGAAGACTACATTCTTCACTGTTGAGCACTTTCGTTGGATTCGACCATCCATTCAAATGGCAATCCCTTTGTCTCCAATTTTTCCCAAAGTAATTGAAGAAAACATCTGTGATGGCTGAAGAATCTTCCACAAGATTTCCTTCCTCATATTTTATTTGCTTGATGATATTTCCATTTCTTCTTCCATTAGCAAAAGCATGGAAAAAATTTGAGTTTAAGTCTCCTTCCTTAAGCCATTTCACCTTGGCCCTTTGTCCCCACCAAGTATTCAATCTAGCAAGAGTCATATTCAACTCATTAATTTTAGCCCTAAACACCCAAAGATCATCCTCCATGAAGTTGTTGCTGTTGGCTTCCAAAATTTGAAATTCTTCAATTTCCTTTTTCAGATTATCCTTGAGTTCTAACAAATTTTTGTGTTTGGCTTTGCTCCAAAAGAATAAAGTTCTAAGGGATCTATAGAACTTTTTGTTAAGACCTTCCATAGCATCACCACTAACCACCTTGCTCCAAGAGTTTTTAATAACAGTAGAGGATGCCGGATAAGAAAGACATCCATCTTCAAATCTCAAAAATTTACTATGAGCAATATCACCATCAATTATCCTTAAAACAATGGGACAATGATCTGAAGCAACCCTTGGTAAGTGTCTAATAGAGGCTAGGTGGACCACCTCCAAAGCTTTTGAATTGAGTAAGCATCTATCCAATCTTTCAAGGATTCTTGCATTGCCCTTCTTGTTGTTACACCAAGTAAACATAGGACCTATGATCCCCACATCATGCAAATCATAGTCCATCATAATGTTCTTCATTTCCATAGGCCCTTGGGAGAATTTAAACTTCTTCCCACCTTTTTTCACTTCATGAGAAATTATACAATTGAAGTCACCCCCAACCACTAAAGGCAAATCTAAAGAAGAATGCCTTCCCACCATCTCCCAAAGCTTCCTTCTCACATATTTTGAGAACATTATGACTGCCATAAATAGTGGATATAATCCACATTCCTTTATCACCAATATTCAGCTCCCCCACTACTCCTTGATCAGAGGCTTCCAATATAGAAAAAGAAGCCACCTCCATCTTCCAGATAACCAGAATTCTACCTGACATTCCAGCCGACAGAACCATGAAAAAATCCCAGTCTACTCCCATAAATTTGTTGAATTCACTTCTACTAAGATTAGAAATCTTAGTTTCTACTATTCCCACAAAGAAAATGTCCCATTCCTTCACAAAGTCCTTCAAATATAAGGAGACTTCTCTTTTGTTGGCCCCCCTATAGTTTCAAAAGGCTAAGGAACTCAACTATCCCCAAGAGGGGGAAGGACCCCCGCTCCTTTTCTTATTCAACCCCTTCTTCATTCTTGAGTCTTTTTTCGAAGGTCCTAAAGACCTCAACTCTTTAAGTAATTTTGGTTTATTACTGTCAGTGGTCTGATCAGATCCTCCTTTACATTTTAATGAGACATTATCATCAGTTGGTTTCTTATCCACATTCTCTAGACCGACAACCAAACCTTCAGAATCTACAATCTGAACATCAGTCAGCTCCACTTCCTCAATTATTAATTCAGCATCAGCAACAATTTCTTCATATTTGTGATCCATATTGTTATCCTGATCTCCAAGAGAAGCCAAGATATTAAAATTTTTGTTTACCTTCATTGCAGTCTCCAAAGAATTACCGTCTTTATTTTTCTCCTTTGAAACAATTTGAGTAGAGTTAACTTCCATCCTCGATTGTTCCTGAGTATTCTGATCAATCATAACATCTACTAGATTTGCAGGCTTCTTCAATTACACTTCAACAACTTCTTTTTGTGGAGGATTAACCTTCACAAGTTCTACATTCCTGTAAACCTATTTAAAACTTGGAACAACTCCAGTTTTTATAGTATTCACCACTTTTTGAGTTCCTTTGTTGAAAAAATTTTCTCTTCTCCTATTAACCAACATCCAGGGACCATAATTTACATCATCTGAATTTGAGATTATCTGATCATCCACCTAAGCCTTTGAAGTAGAAGGATTTCTCTCTATCATTTTGATGTTTTCCATTGTCTTTTTAAGAACACAAGCCTTGTTAAGATGTCCCAGCTTCCCACAATTAAAACAGAGAGTTGATACTTTCTCGTATTCTACTTTTTGAAAGAACCGACCATGCAATCCTTCAACCCATACTCCCAATGGCAATTTCTTATCAAGTTCAATTCTCACACATACCCTAGCAAATTCCCTCCTCCCCCATTGGAACATGTCTCCATCAATGAGAACAAGGACTCCAATCAACGAAGCAATCCTTTCTACATTTACTTCATCCCAACAGTAAAGAGGTAGATTGGGTAATCTCAACCAAATGGGAGAAGACAAACCTTTCAATGAATCAGTAGTGAATTTTGGGCTCCATTTGTCTATACCCACAATGTGACCCTTTACGAACCAAGGTCCACCTGATAGTACCTCCTCAACTGCTTCAGTAGAGAAGAAAGAGCACAGGAACCATCCCGAACCCAGTACAGTAAGATAGAATTTGCCAAACTTATCCCATTGTCGTCATAGTTTATTAGCTATCATTTGGATTGAATTGAATTCCCCAAAAACTTTGATCACCATAGATAATTGAAGCTTTTTTGAATTGATTTCCATATTTGGCTCAAATAACTTCACTGCCAGCCCATCTTCAGTCAAGAAATTCTCTATTTTTGACATATCGACCTTAATATAAGGTCTCTTATTCCATGGATTCTTCTGGGCATCTCCCCTCCTTGCTTCTTCAATTGTATTGGTTCTTAGTACATTTCCATCATTAGGTTCAGACGGGGCATTAACACAAACATCTAAATGCATAACCTCATTAGATTGAACTTAAGTAGCTCCCTCCGTCATGACATCAGGTTTAGAGAAGAATCTTTTCACCAGTAATTTCATATTGGATGATGGAGAACCAATTTCTGTTGGCGTTTGCTCCACGTCCTTCTTCAGAGAGACGTCCTGTACAAGTTTCTCTTTGCCCTTCCCTAGAACTGGAGGAGGAGAATTACATGCAAAATCCAATGGTTCCCTTATGACAAGATGTGCGTTAACATGTTTTAGTCTTGGAAAATCCTCGTCCCATGATGCAGCAGAGATGTTGGAAATGGTGCGAGTTGACTTAGATAAAGCAGTCGAGTCATTTTGTCCATCACTGTCTGCCGGCGGTAGGCTATCCACCTCATGCGAAAATCCCGCCAACAATTAAAATAGAGGAAAATTTTAAAAAGATCGTTCAAAAAATGGGAGTCTCACTCTCTAACTTAAATTCCGGAGTTAGAGTTGAAACACTCTTTGTGGTTATTTGTAGAATTAAAATAGATATTTACTAAAAGGTTTACTAGAGTATATCACCATGTCATACTAAGGGATCTTGTAGTGAAAAATAGAAACCTGGAGAATGTTTGGTTGACTATATCCTAAGATGGTGGAACATTAGCATGAAGTGTAAGCCTTAGCTTCTAGAGTAGCAAACTATGGAAATCCTTTTAAAGAATATTCATGATCCAATTACCTTCCTACTGAAAGGATTTATAATTAAAACTTTAAAGAGGTTATTGAGTAAAACCTCTAATCATCAAGAGAAAATTGTAACAATTTACTTCCTAAAAAAATTAATCACCAGTAAAAATCAGAAAGCTAAAAACTTAGAAGGTGCTAGAAAATTAGCCTATTTTACTAATAATTGATAATGGTAAACAACCAATGTAAATTTATGTAAAAAATCTTGGTCATCCATCACAATTTCATCATTATAATAGTCTTCCTAATCCATAATTTAAATCTCACTCCAATCTCATTCCCGTAGAGAAAGGAGAAAGATTTGAAGCTCTAAAGAATAAGGCTTATTCATTTAAAAGAGATTCTATTAAAAGGATCTTTAAAAATCTTCTAAGGAATTCACAGTTCAAACTCTTTTAACATAAGAAGCCATAAGATGTGGCAAAGTGAGGCAACCTAAACATTGCCAATATCATTGGATGATTAATCATGAGTTAGAAGATTGTATAACATTCAAGAATGGCTTGAATGAAATATCAAAGATGGATTAATTATATTACCCAATGAGTATTTAGCTTATTATAATCTGTGATATACTAAATGCATGATTTGTTAGCATTATGTATAAATTTTAAATTCAAAACCTGATGATGATTAGTATATTGATTGGTATATAGCCTTATCCTGATCTTCTAAGAAAAATTTAAATAAAATTTCTCATTCATCTATTCAGATTTCTAAAGGAGTGTAGTGTCCCCACTAGGTTGATCTAGTAGCTCTTGAAGAGGAAGTCAAGAATAAAGTTAAATTTGAAGAGCCCAAGAAGAGATCAATCAGTCAATATTCAACAATTCAAAAGGAGGAAATCAAGAATAAAAATAGTAAGGTAAATAATAAAGTTGTACTTTCTTTCAATGGTTAAGCATAGGATCTTGTATCGCTTGTACTGTATGATTTCTATTTTATCCTGCCAGGGGCTAAGAAAGTAATGATGAAAGTTCAATGTATATCTTGTCTATATCTGGTGATGATCAAATGAATGATGAAACAAAAAATAATGCTATAGAACATGAAATAAACTTAAATGAATTAAAAAGAATCACTTCAATATTTATCTGATAGTGATTCCCATGTACTCGATATTCAGAGTGATCCTATTTGTCTGGAATTTGAGATGTATGATTCTAATAATTCATCAAATGAAGTACTAAAAAGGTAAATGAATTTATAAAATCAAAAGAATATACTATATGTTCCTCAGAAGAGATAGTTCAAATAAATCTACATAGTGGTAAGGTGTTACCACCATCAGTATCTGTAACTAGGAAAAGAAAAAAGTGGCCAATAATCTAGAAACATCAACATACTTCAACAAGATCTAGATGTAGCTAATTTAGATATTCCTAAATTGGATTATAATGTGTTAGCACATTGTAGAAATTGCCTTCAAAATTGAGTGTCTACGATGCTTTAGTTTTTTCTTAAGTGGTGAGGGAGGCTGTATATCTAAGTTAACATTAATGCAGTTTAAAGAGGATTATATTTTAAAGAAGTTAGATGGATTAAATTTTTAGATGATTATTTATTATTGGGAACTTCAGATCTTAACCTCCCATATATATATCTATGAACATAGACAATTTCAATTAGTCTCATGTCCTTGTTGATCTGGGTATATCGGTGAATATTACGAGTCTTAGAACTCTCACATAACTAAGGTAGATATGTGCAATCTTAGTTCTGGAAAGAAGTTGTTGTAAGGGTTCAATTAAAATGGCAAGAGAGCTTTGGGGACAATAACCCTTCTTTGGAAATAAGAAATCGAAAATTAAAGATAATTTATATATAATAGATACTGAAACTTCTTTCAATGCTCTGTTGGGTATATCATGGCTACATGAATATATAATGGTGCCTTCTACCCTTCCTTCGTGTATCAGATATTATCGTGAGGGAATGGATCACTGTATTAAAGGTGAATTGTAGCCATTTTCAATTCATGATGTTAGTATATTTAAAGATGTTTCATACTATTTTCCTATTAAGTAGACTGCCTTCTTTAAGAATCTTAAATTGGCTAAAGAATAAGTGAAATAAAAGAAAGGAAAAGAAAGACAAAAGGGAAAATGGAAATACAAAAATAAAGAGTCTTGATCTCAAACACGATGTTCATTGGTCACCTGCCCCTCCCTCACAAAGAAGTGGTAGAATAGCTAAATTATCTAGAGGAAGAGGTCTAAGATGGAAAAATAAAGTCATAAATGAAAATGAAAAAAGAAATGTAAATAAAGGCACATGTAAAACTTATTGATTTTGAATCCATCTCTGAGGAGTAATCATGTGTGATTGATAAAAAGCCATGGGTTGTAGAACATAAAAATAATATAAAATAGCCAAAATATGAGATTTATATGGAAGCTGATAATGATAAAGATATGGTCCAAGTTGCAATGGAAGTTGAGTTAAATCAATATACTATGGAAAAGTTACAAAAGTATGTGGAAAATATTACCTTTACTCCCCTTTCCTAAAATGATGTAAAAAGGTTATAGGTGAGAAGCACCTTCCTTTAAACCTAACCTTCCATTAGAAAAGACTACTTAAATCGTTGTACCATTCAGTGATCCATTTATGATTGAAATAGTATAACTCCATTTTGATTGGTATTCCAACTGTGTTAGTAAGTTTGCTAAGCAATGTTTAATGCCATAAATTTAATGAGAGGTGATGCTCTGCAAATCAAATAATTGTGGGATGAAAAATATCACAAATTTACATTAAGATAAAGCATTGGATTTGCTACTCTATGTTTGTTTAATGACGATGAATATTGCTTAGTTATATCAAATAATCTAAAGTCTGATAGTCTCTTTTTAGTGAACATTAAAACTCTTAATAAACTATATTTAGAAACTTTAGATGATCTAGATCACTCTCAAGCTAGGGATGCACCTCCAAAACTTCAAGAGAAGATTAAATCTATGATTTATTGATTTGCAAGAAATAAATCTTGGAACTAAAGAAGAACTTTATCCAATTTCATAAGTTCCTTATTAAATGAGGATGAGGTGAATAAAATGTTGAAACTCTTAGAAGAATTTAAAGACTATTTTTCTTGGATTTATAAAGAAATGCATGGATTATCTCTAAATTATAACAATCAATAAGCTATAAATTCATCTAGGAATTATTCTTGTTAAACAAGCACCTCGTTGAATGCTAGTCAACATTGAATACTAACTGATTTTGATGTTAAAAAAGTTAATTGATGCAAGCTTTATTAGGTAGGAGAAATATCCAACATGGTAAGCTGGGAGTTTTCAAACTAAGAATAAAAATAGTCAAACTTGGGCTTGTATTGATTTTTGATATCTAATTAAAGCCTATCCTGAAGATGAGTTCCCACTTCCCATACAAAAACTTAGGGTTAATACATAAAATCATCACGAGACTATCATTTGATCTTCTAATCTATCACCTAAAAATCACTAAATTTTTGTTAGTGATACGATTATTATAATGCTAAATTCATTCATTCATTGATCTCATTGATCAATTCAAAACTTAAATTAAAATCAAGTCCTAAATCCATTAATTAATTGTCCCTAGTGATAATCAGTTAATCACATTCAATCAATGATGATCAATGATCTAAGCGTTTCAAATCGTAAATCTATTCTAAGTTATTATATAAATGAAATAAATGCAATCCATTAATTAAACTCATTGATTAATTCAAAAATCTAAAATCTAGTTTTAGAACCAAAACCAAAACCCCCAAGTCCATAACCTATTTTTTGAGAAATTTCTATTATCTTGAAACATAACCAAATGACTTTAGATTCTTGATCTGTCACATACATATTGATAAGGCATGTCCTTAGGGTCAATCATATCTTTTTTAAGGCATTTCAAGATCATTGACCCTTAAAACTCAAAGAATTTCTATAGGCTATAAAACCTTCAAATATTTATAGCATATGCAACTGAATATAGTATCTTATAATTTTTTGACCTTGGAGGCCACTTCAAACTCTTTGACAATAATAATCATCATTAGCATGATGCATTATGCTAACATTGAACCTTGGTTGACCATGGTTGGTCACAAAAACCTAAAACCCTATACCTTAAAAATTGAATTCTACTTAAACCTTAACAAGGCCCAGTCTAACCAAGCCATGTAATTTAATCCAACATATCCCAAATAAGATTTAGAGTGCATTAAATTATATCCTAAGCCTTGATTAACCTTAGTTGACCAAAGAGGCCTTTTATCACTTAAAAATGCATTTTGGATTAAATGATCGTCCCAT